CTTTTTACACTGAGGTACAATTTAAATCTATTTTTAAGTTAATGAGAGCCTGATCTATGTAACAGTTAATACTGTAAAACACAAAAATACATTGCTACTTTTCTACAAAAGGTTAAAAGGTTTCAGCCTTTCTTTAATTCATGTTTTAGATGTGATATTATATTGTTACCTAATATTCATGTGAACTTGAGCAACAATTTATGTAAACTTTGTAAAATGATGTTTAAAAAACAAAGATCAGCTTCAGAACTAGAGCACTTAATACTTAAGAATTATGAAGAGCCCCGCCTTACCTGAAATAGGCTCTGTGTCCCATCTTATTACATGTGAGAATGACTCTACGAAAGAAGTAGGCCAGATTTCAGTATATTTAAAGTTGTGTCCAAAAGCTGGCTTTTGTCAAGATTACTAGGATCTCAATCAGGGGATATAATGTATAACTCTGCCAAAGTTCAAGGTAGCTATTTCACGAACTAAATATGTTTTTACTCTTGTTTGTTTTGTTTTGTAGTTTTCTTATAAATGGTCTAAAGATTGCCTGTTAATATTTTGCAGAGGTACTGCTTTAAGAACACACAACCTGGGTTAATTTAAGATAATAAGTTATCACCTACAGGATAGAGAGATAGACATTAAAGCCCAGTGCTCTTAATATAAGACTGTTGAAATTGATTTGCTGAATGTTTAAGATTTAGAATTAAAGTTAAATTAAAAGGGCCAAGAAAACCAATATTTGGCTCTTGCCCTCTGAGTCAGTCTGAATCCAGGAAACAGGGAACTTCTCTCAAGAGCTTTGCAACTCTGGGCCACATAACCTCCCGATCAGGGAGATTAATGAGACCACTGAAGAACAGAAAGCCAATCTGTGCATTTGCTATGAAGAGGAGGGTCATTGGAGAAGGGAGAGATCCCTGATGCTTCCAAGAGAAGCCACATGGTCAAGCAAGACCTGGACCCATCCTAGTGCAAACGGCACTAGCAGAAACGAGAAGCTGCTGTAAAGTTCCCCCAGGACTCCCATAGAAACTCAGCTGTTAACAATAGATAGAAACAAAAGTCAATTTGCTTCATCTTAAACACTTAGCAAAGACAGTTAAAACCCAAACACCGTTATTATTGGGCATTTTAAATAATAATAATAATAATTAAATGTAACTTAAGGTATACACCTTGTGTTAGCCCCCAAGAATAAGTATGACTGGAGGCTACAAAAGAGATTCTTAGGCAGGAATGCCTGATTACTATCAAAAGAAACTATCAAAAAGAACTGCCAGAGTAGTTTTTAGTTTAAGGCCTACAGATATTCCTAACATACACATGTAGGCTTGGTGTTTGCTAGTATAATCATGCAGCCCCAAGTAACAGAATTAAAGGTTTCTCTATTAGACACAGAGGTCATACTAGTAATAGGATTTTGCAAGATCAGATGACATTATTAAACTGTATCTTAATGGGGAAGGACATCTGTAACACTAAAAGTTAAAGTTAAATGTTATGCTTTCAGTCCTGATAACTGGGGATGTTAAAGCCTGGTGAGGAAACTTTTATTATACAGCGACCTGTTCCAGCTGCTGCAACATTTATTCAGTACTCATGGTTTTTGTTTCTCTCATAGAAGCATCCATCCCCAGATGACTTTACAATCTGTTCTTCCCCAATCAGACTTCAAACTGAACTGACTTCTAAAAGGGAACTCTTGTCCCCCACGTCCCCTATGTTGTCGTCCCCCGCATCGTCGAGCCCCCTCATGTTTGACGCCCCCCTCTCAGCTTTGAAGCAGCTAGAACAAGCCATCGCCCCTTCTTACAGCAATAAGGTGTTCCTAAAATTAGAGGGGGGAATGAAGCCAGAAATAGACAGTGTAGTAAATTGAGTCAGGTTGGATTTAGGAGGCCAATTTTGAGTGAGTCTGGGAAGTTGAAGACTGTCCCCTGAGGGTTACTGTTTACTCTACCAAGATGTAGAGCCTGCCCAAATAGACCCTCAACTGAGGGAACCATGATTGGTTCCCAAGTTTCCAGACAAAGGGGGGAATAAGAAACTGATGTGACTCTATTTTTTGAGAAACCAGCCTCTACCTCAGAGCAAAGCCTGTCCAAGGAAGGGGGCATGACCCTTGTCCTTGGAAAAACCCACAGAGCACTCTTAGGCACATACCCACTCTGCCTATCTATAAATAACAGGAGAGATCTGTGGCACCCTGACTCAGTCAGGCTAGGTGAGGACCCATTGCAACCCCCTAGCAGCCACCAATCAGCATGAGACAGGGAAAATACCTGGGATGCCAGATGACCCTCCCAGTAGTTTATGGTGGTTGATAACATGTTGGGAAACCATGTAGTTCAGCATGCACTCCCCTCATGGCTTAAACCAATCAGTTCAAACGAATCCCCCTCTTGTACTAACCAATCACCCTTACCCAACTTGTTCCCACCAGTGAATGTGCTAATCATGTTTTAGAGTTGTTTTATGATCTTCCTGCGGTGTGTGATGATTTGCTAAGAGATGCTATGATGTATGTGAAGTCCCTGCTTTCCCCAAAGAGTATATAAAACTGCTGCAAACCCTGGACTCGGGGCCTCTTAGCGACACCAGTTGCGGTGTGCACGGAGGACTGAGCTAGCTCACCATAAACACCTCTTTGCTGCTTACATCGATCTTGGTCTCTGGTGGTCTTTTGGGGGTCCCGAACTTGAGCATAACAACCCCCACCACACACACACACACACACAAGGAATCAAACAAACCAACCAGCAAACATTCAGGGGGAAAGAGGATTCTGAGAAATGAGATACTTATTTTCATTTAAATAAAAAACACCTTTAACCTATTTATTCTACAAATCACAAGGCAATGTTGCCTGAACTTTGCCAGTATCTTCTAGAAGTAGGCATAACCAAGAACTAATAGTTAATTCACTATAACTAACTGCCCACTGCAAATGTCTAGGAGTTCCATGTCTATGAAACAAAGTTAAGGCTGGAGGTGTGAGTCCGTGGTAGAACACGTGCTTAGCATGCTAGAGGTGGAGGGAAGGAGGGAAGAAGGAAAGGTGAGAGGGAGGGAGGAGAAAAGGAAGGAAGAAAATTTGTGAGTTCCTTCACATGTAAACATAGCTTATTTTTTAGAATCTCACCTCAAATTATTTTTTAAAAGAAGTGGAGAAAGGCAAGCATTTCTGCAAAGACATTCCTCAAGAAACAAAAGTTTAAATGTGTGATCTCCTGGAATAAGTCATGTCAGAGGCCTGGGTCTTCATCTTGACCGCTAATTAGATTTATGTTCCTTAACTTTTTCACCTGAAAATGGGAAAAATGGGTACTCCTCTTAACCCCAGTGTTGATAAAAAATAATAGGTATGAAAAACATTCAAAAAAGTTTTTAAAGCTCTATGGAGCCAGGGGTGGTGGCACAGCCTGTGATACCAGTTACTCAGGAGACTGAGGTGGGAGGATCACAAACTCTAGACCAGCCAGGGCAATTTAGCAAGTTCCTGTCTCAAAATAAAAACATAAATAAATTCAGCAGCCCTGGGTTTCATCTCCAGTATAATAAAAAGAAGCTCTATGGAAATACAAAATTTTCTATGGGCCTAGGAACTTCAGAAGGCCCAGCAGGGTGGAAGGGTGAAAGAGAAAACAACCATTGCTCTCAAGTTGAGAAAGGCATGCCCTCAGGCATGATGGTACAGAGCCATGATATTTGCATCACACTTTAGGTTGATGAATGCATGCCCAACCACCCTTTGACATAAGTGTTTTCCTGTCTGCCTCAAGGCAAGGTGAGGGGGGTTTGTGGGTGCAGGGAATTTAATGATCCTCATGGAACCTTACTCTTTTCCCAATTGATGAAAAAAAAAATTATTAATTTAATAATGCTCCAAATGGGAAACATGCCTACCCTCCCACTCTATAAAAATAAAAGAGCCCAGGAAATAAAATTCCAAAAAGACTAAACTGATTTTCACCCAATTCTTTCCAAAGCTACTTGTGGACCCCTCAAGGAAATTAAGGCAGGCACCCTGTCATGCTTCCAAACAATGTAGCTGTTAGTACTGTAAGTTTGAAAAGATAAATTCTAACAGTTTGCTAAATTTCATCAAAGAAATTCAAGTCACCCCACTAATCTAAGTAAACTTTTATCAAACTACTAATTATAGTACATAAAAGGCAGAAAATACAGCAGGTTTTAAAGATGCAAAAAAAAAATACATAAAAATAATCAAATGGGTGATCGCTTTAGTGACACATATACTAAAATTGGAACAATTCAGAGAAGATTAGCATAGCCCCTGCTCAAGGATGGCGCGCAAATTCATGAAGCGTTCCATATAAGCACTTGCCTTGCAAGTGTGAGGCACTGGGTTTGATCCTCAGCACCAAATAAAAAAATAAAGAAATGTGCCCACCTACAACTAATATATATATATATATATATAAAATAATCAATGGGAGAAGTAGCCAAGTTGAATGAAATAAATTATAGGCAATCTTATAGAGGAATTTTATTCCTGTGAGCTTTACTCTTCTGTTGATTTAATGTGTTTTTGGTGACCATTAAAACTGAACATTTTCAATCTGACTGAAAATGCTTAATTACAACATTCTCGAATGGTTTCTGGATGGCCACAGCTCAGGGATGATGAGGCTTAGAGGCCCTCACAAGCCCTGAGAGCCAAGTCATAGATCACATTTCCTCTCCGCTGCCCTCACTATTCTTGAAGTAGAGCCACTTCCCCAGAGAGCCTCCTAATTGCTACAGACTCGGTTCCATTGACATCAGAGCAACTTCTGCTCAGATGAAGATGTAAGTTTTCATACTGAGATCTGGCATATTTGTGAGGCTCCAAGTCTCCAGCCTGATGGTGTGAGCATCTGCCACCTGCTCTGTCTGCAGACTAGAGACGCTGCAGAGGTATGGGCTAAGCCACAGGGGCAGCTAGTGGCCATGTGATGCCCGGCTACTCTACAATCTCCTTACAGAAGCAAGAGATAAGTTACCTCCTGCAGAGCCTGGGCCAGCTGTTGCTTGAGATCTTCTTCTCCTTGCTCTTTATCCAAACCCTGCAAAGCCAAAACAAAATGAAAGGTTTTCCTATTAAAAAAGGGGGAAAAACTGACAGGAGTAAACATCAAGGATGAACAAACAACATGAATCAGCAAAAGGACTTGTTTTGGACTTGTTTTGGACTTTGCAGTGACTAAGTGACTTTTTAGTTGTAAACATGTTTTTGGTTATAGGATGACTAGATAGTATGCCCATGTTAGATAAGTTGATGATGTAACTAGGTAGTGTGCTTATGTTAGATAAGTTAGACATAAACAAGTTTGTTGTAAACATATAGAGTATATAAGCGCGAGGGAAACTCCATGTATTTGCTCACAATCAACTCTCATCGCCTGAGAGTAAGATCGTGCAGTGTGAGCCAGCCACCTCGTGTATTGCTTTGTGTGGTGTGCGAATAAACCAGCATTTCAAAAGGCAATCGAGTTCGTGCTTGGTGTTCGCGTACGTCGCGGTCCGGGGTCCAGTGCAGATATCCGGAAGGGAACTCCTGGTAACCAGACAAGGCTGAGAAGCTGCTCATGACAAAAACCCAACAAGGAGCAGAACCTATGAGCTAGTGTTGGAACCTAGAAATAACAGAGGTCAGTGAGCAGGTTGAAATCTCTTCACTCTCACCTAAAGCTTATGGCAGTAAAGGATTTGAGCAGTTATCCCCACAAACACTACACACCTCAGGACTGTCAGCTTTAAGCCACCACTTGGGTGGTTCTGGAACAGTCCATGCCTCCTTCACTGGCTAATGCCAAGACACCCCAAAGGATATAAACTGAGAACTTCTGAATCTAAACTCAGACATAATGTCTAATGCTGGGACTCAGAAGATCTTCTATGTTTTTTCCCTAAATTCTGGTCACCCTGTCTCCTCATTCTGAGACCACTTTTTGCTTATAAACTAGTCTTCCTGTCCCCCAGCATGAGCTTATGTTATATTTCCTCCACCTGACGGTGTGAGCGTCCGCCAAAGCTGCGATAATGCAAGCCTTCCACAATCTCATTAATCTAGTCCAGCTTCTTCCAAAAGAACCTCTGGGCTCTTCCCTCCTTAAGAATTACCTACCCATTTAGTATGCCCACATGAAATTGTAGTCTGGTTTAGAAACTCAATGAAAACTGTTTTCCTATTATATTATGTGCATAATACATCTTGTCTCTTCAACAGGATGAATTACTTAATGGCAAAAACCATTTATTAAGCATTTTTTGCCCAGCAGAACTTCTTAGTGCCAGGCATCATGGTTACCCAAAAAACAAAAGCAACAAAAAAAAATCTATGTGAACTTCTGAACAAGGAGCAGGGGTAGGCTAAATCCCCAGGGTTGGGTGGGCAGAAGGAAATGCAGCTAGGACTATATACACTTTGCTTTGAGCCATTAATACACGACCCCTGGAGAAATTCTCTAAACCAGGCTTTTTCACCTTTAGTTAACATTTGGCTACAGGAATAGGTTTTGCACCTATACCTTGAAGCATACAGAATGGCCACAAATATTAACAGTAACTCTTCAGGATGTAGCTCAGTGGTAGAGTGCTTACCTAGCATGCGTGAGATCCTGAGTTTAATCCCCATCATCACAAAACAAAGAGTAACTCTTATTCCTGAACACATTATCCCTTCAAGAGGGTTCTGTTCTAGTGAAGGTTTGACACACTAAATACGTAGAGATAAAACACCCTTTATTAATCTAAAGAACTAGTCTAGGCTAGATAAGGGAAACAAAAAGGTACACACATGCAACAGTATATACCCTAAAAATAGCTTCATTTTTTAAAAAATATTTTTTTAGTTATACATGGACACAATATCTTTACTTTGTTTATTTATTTTTATGTGGTGCTGAGGATCGAACCCAGTGCCTCACATGTTTGAGGCAAGCGCTCAGCCACTGAGCCCCAGCCCCAGCCCTAAAAAAGAGCTTCTTAATCCATGTTCTCTGCTACTACTAGCCAGCTCAAAGGGATAACAGAAATTAGAATGAAATTTATAAATTGTTCAGAAATAAGCCAGTTGTTGTTCCTTGCCCTGAGCAACCTAAGCAAAAATAAAAGCTTATTCACTTCAGTTGTGATTGGTCCTTCTTATTTCTAAGTCAACAACAGAGAATTCCTGACATTCAACAATACCTGAGCAAACGGGTGGGAGTAATGTGTGGTTCCTGCCAGATGGGAACTGACATTTTGAGTAGGAACAGAATCAGGTTTGCCTAAAGCTTGTGCAAAAGCTTGTCATCTAAGCAAATGATTCAGGCATGGAAACACATTTAGCATTATTTTGACACCACCAAGACAGTCATCCCAGTAAAGGAAAGTAAGTGGCTTATCATTTCAACATAATACCAGAGTCATGGTGTCCCTGTCCTCAGCATGCTGGATGCTCAAGACTGAAACAAAAACATTTTCTGTTTTTCTAGCCTCTGACCTCTTAGGTTAGCTACAGAGTGGACTCATCCTCAGAGCTAACAAACTGTCAGGTACAAGGGCAGAGTAACCAGCTGACCTACTGCCTTGCAGCTAAGTGATTTGGCTTTGATCACTGAGCAAAGACAGATAAGTCATGAGGTCAACTCTTGGCTTAATTGGAGTGGAATGTGGTTTTGTGCCATCCTGACCTTCATCCAACTTCTTCACCTGACAGTGGGTCTGAGATACCTTGGCTTGTATTCTGAGATCAGTTATGCTCTAGCTGGCTCTTTCAGTCATCATACCCTATATCTTGACACCCTAAGTCTGGCTCCTGGTCAGCATGCTCAAACTTTAACCCCCTTCTCAACTTTCTTCTCCCATTCTATCTCCTGTTTCTGGTACTCAAACATTTAGTCTCTGGACCAGAAATAGACAGCTCTAGATAGAGGTTCCCAAAGTAACAGCCCACCGATGGGCAACCTTGCCTTCCCTTCAGTGTGGTACCTGGAGATGCTGCTCCTCTTCCTGGAAAGTCTTTTCTAGTTGCTCTACTCTTGCCTGCTGCTGAGCCTGCTCTGCATACAGCTGGGACTGTAAGTCCTGCAGTTCCTGTTCCATTTTCATGATTTTCTTTGAGCTCCCCTTTTGGGTTTGCCTTTTCACATTCAGAACAGCAACTTGTTTTTCCTGCATCTGCGTTTTCAGCTTCAGAATCCTGGACATGGTCACCTTAAACAGCTCTAAGCTGCTCTGAGATGCTGAAGGATTTGAGGCTTTCTGCTTCTTTTGATGAGGCTCCATGACTTTGGGAGGGCCAGGGCAAATACTAGCCCCTGGGGTCTTCTCATGTGCTTCAAGAGAAGTCAACTTAGGATCCAAATATTCAGAGGGTTCACCTTTCCCATGTGACTTCAGTGGCTGACCAGGTTCACATGACACTTTACTTATTTTGGATTTCAAATTTGAGGGGCCTTCAGCTGCAAGACCCTCCAATTCATCTAAACTAAATTTCCTTTTAGTTCTCAAGTCCTTATCTTTTTCATTCATCTGGTCACTCTTTGGGGACAGATAGGGATAAATTTTCTCCCATTCTTCTTCAGTAACTTCATATTCATACTCTGCATTCTCCTTATTTTCCAGAGGCACCCCAAGCTGGATGTGGTCTCCCTTATGGATGAAATAAAGCTTTAATGGTTCCAGGCGCTCTCTGTTCAACCAAACACCATTCAGACTCTGGGGAAAGGGAAAGAAAGATTAAGTAAGTTTCCTGGTTTTGCTCTTCTTTTTTTTAATCTTTTTTTTTTTTTTTTTTTAGTTGTCAACGGACCTTTATTTTATTTATTTATATGTGGTGCTGAGAATTGAACCCTGTGCCTCACACATACTAGGCAGGGACTTTACCATTAAGCCACAACCCGAGCCCAGTTTTGTTCTTCTTAATGAAATTTCTCACCTGCTGCTGCAAAACCTTCTGCCTTTTCAGAACAAACACCCTTGAGAACAAATAGAAAAGAAAGGTCCATAAACCACCATCCTTAGAAACAGCATTCTTCAAACAGTGCTTTGGCTTTTTACCCATATTTCACATTCATGCCTCCACTGAGAACTGCCTGGAAAACAGGCAAGAATCACCTTATTATTGGTGGATAAATTGCTCAAACACATGCAATAGCACTAAAGGAAACTGAAACTGAATTGTTCTTATTGACCTAAACTGCAGGCAATAGCCCAAGAATGGAAAAATTGCTATTAGCGAAGGAAGCGTCACCTAATAGTGAAGTCCACAAGGCCGGCTTGGCCAGGAATGCTGCTCAAGTACCGTTTCTGAAGTGATGCCTCAACACAATGAACAAAGCACTTCTCAATATGCATAAACGAAAAAAAGAATACCAATGCTCTGTACTAGGATCAAACTGTAGGTGGGATCTGGTCTAATTAATACCAACAAAGGCCCATAGTGGTTAAGTGCTAGAGCTCTGGACCCAGGCTTGGGCCCAGAGCCTGAAGCAACACCTTGGGCTTATTAACTGTATGTCTTTTCTGCAATTTATTTAACTTCTCTGTGCCTCAATTTTGTCTGTAAAATAGGGATGGTAAGGAGCAAATAAGATAATGTGCATAAAACATTATTATACGTGTTTAAGTATAAAGTAAATGCTTGATGTTTACTTGTCTGGTTTTAATGAAGTGTAAAGGTCAAGAATTTGGGGGTGGGGTGGGGGTGGCTCAGTGGTGGAGCACTTGCCTAGAATGCATGAGGCACTGAGTTCGATTCTTAGAACCACACAAATAATAAATAAGGTCCATCAACAACTAACTAACTAAATAAAAAACAATATGGAACTTGAGGCTGGGGTTGTGGCTCAGTGGTAGAGCACTTGCCTGGAATGTGTGAGGCACTGGGTTCAATTCTCAGCACCACATGTGAATAAATAGAGTAAAGGTCCATCAACAACAACAAAATTACCAAAAAAAAAAAAAAAAAGGAACCTAGATACACGTACAAATATGTAACAACAAATCCCATCATTAGCTACAACTATAATGGACCAACATAATCATAATTATTATTTGTTAATTACCAATAAAATAAAATAAAAATAAAAATTTTAAAAATTACAACTAAAATAAAATAAAAAGAATATGGAACCTGGGGGTGGGGATGTAACTTGGTAATAGAGTGCTTGCCTTGAAATCACAAGGACCTGGGTTCGATCCCCAGCACCATGAAAAAAAAAAAAAAAAAAAAACCATGGACCCTGCACCTGGAGTTAGGCTGCCTGGATTTATAATCTGTCTCTACCACTTACCAGCTGTATGACCTTGAGCAGATTTCTTGCCTCTTTATGGACCATTTACTTGCATCTATAAAATGGGGAATAATAACAGTCTCTCCCTCATGATCTTTTTGTGAATTTGATGAGTTAATGTGCAGTTAGAACAGTGCCTAGTCTGTGGCATTTTATAAATGTTCACTATTATTATATCCTGGCTCAACTGATTTATTAAGTCACTCCAATTCTAAGCTCCACATCTTACAAGGTAAATACATCAAGTGCAAAGGCAGAACAATTTTTTTTTTTTTTACTGGGGATTAAACCCAGGGGTACCAAGGTATATATGCCCAGACCTTTATTTTATTTTTTATTTTGAGACATTGTCTCACTAAGTTGCTGAAGCTGGCCTCAAACTTGCAATCCTCCTGTCTTAGACTCCCAAGACGCTGGAATTACAGGTGTGTATCACCATGCCCATCTGAAAACTTTTAGCAGCTGACTACAGAAAGAATAACCCAAGGGCACAAACAGGTGTGGGATTACATGGCACAGCCTATAAACGCAAAGGATTATCACGTGAAGCTGGGGTATTAATGGAAATGATAGGTCCTAGCTAAGGGATGCTAAACAGAAATGATAGGTCCACAAATAGATCTGAAACAAATGTAGGCTTTAGAGTTAACAGATATTGGTAGTTATTTTAACCCATATCAAGGACTTGACTTTAGGGGAGAGGCCAAAGATGAAACTCACTTCTGAACTGAGACTAAGACTTATGTTGGGGTTTGGGGATGTGACTCAGTGGTAGAGTGCTTGCCTAGCATGTCCAAGGTTCTGGGTTAGATCCCCAGCATTGGAGAAGGGAAAAACTTATCTTTATACTAGCAACTACAGCTGCTTACTTTTCAGCCAGAAAAAAATCCCTGATCAACCTGAATATGACAGAGGGCTTCACCACAAGGCACAGAGGATGAATGGGGAATAGAGATTGGATCTTAGCCATGGTTTGGTATTAGGCCTCTATTTCTGGCTTTTTCTATAGTATTTGGCTTGAGCAGAATATATGTGTGTGTGTGTGTGTATATATATACATACATACATACATAAATGCTAGTCAACCCACTTCCTTGGGCCTAACATGGCTCACCTGGCAACCTTCCCCCATTCTTCTACTCAGCCTAGGGGAATGATCAGTCCTGCTGACTCTGCATCAACACATAGGGAAAAAACAAAGGATGGGGATGGAGCCAGAACAATCCATTTGAGAACAATTTTAGAACATAAAAGTTGATTTTAGATTACACGTAGGAAAAAGGTCTCAGGCAAAGTAACGTGATATAGGTGGCCACCTGATGCCTGTATATAGAAATTTAAGAAAAGTCTTAAAAAGTAGCATAAATAGGTTATAGAAGCTCCAGGCTAGAAGGAACAAGCAACCTTTAAGAAACTGAAGCAAACTTTTGAGATGTCTTGCAGCCCTCCACTGGATTCTCTGCATTAACCCGTCTTAACAGGGTTCTTTTGGCCTGCAAAATAAGTTCTCAAAAATTTCCCAATACATTTTATCCTTGGATCCCTCTGTTTAACCATTCATCACTTTCTGGTGACACCTAGTGGTATAATTTGAACCACAGCTCTGAGTCAGGTCTGTTCCAAAGGTGACTACAAAATGATGAACAAACTATGACTGGATTAGGACAGTCAAGCCTTGCCCAGGAATATGGTCACGAATACAATGGTTTACATAAATCATGCTTTGTTCAAGGATTTTCTAATGTTGGTTTTCATAGTCACCAGCTTGGACAAGGTCCAGCAGCAGCAAAATTATAACCAGAGGAAAAACCTGCCTGAAGTCTTTCAGCCACCCTGCAGTCTCCAAGCCATCAATGGCAAAAAAAGATGGGATAGGGCACACCCTCCAGACACGTTACTTTACTCAAAACTCAATCTCTATCCAGCTACTTTTAAACAATTGTAAAAAACAGTGAAAACCCAAAACCCCAAGGCAATGTTTTCTTGGAGTTTTCTAGATGAGTTTGGCATCTTTCACTTAGCAGAATGGCTCTGAGATTTCTCCATGTTGCTGCATTATCAGAGGAGTTTAGTTTTTTATTGCTGAGTAGTATTGAGTGTATGAGTAACAGAATTCAGCCATTCCCTAGTTGTTTTTCCAGTTTTTGATGATTATGAATAAAACCACCTTAACATTCATGTACAAGTTGCTATGAGAGGATAAATTTTTGTTAATCTCGGGTAAATATTTTAGAAATAGGAAACTAGATAAATGTACTGCTTAACTCTTTTTAAAAAATCACCAAAGTGTTTTTTGGTTTTTTGTTTTGTTTTATTTTTAGATTGAAGGTGGAACCCGGGGGTGCTTTATCATGGAGCTACATCCCCCAAATTTTTATTTTTTTCTTTGGAGACGGGGTCTCACTCAGTTACTTAAGGGCCTCACTAATTTGCAGAGGCTGGACTCAAACTTGCAATCCTCCTTTCTCAGCTTCCTGAGTCACTGGGATTACAGGTGTGTATCACCACAGCCCACCATCAGTGTTTTTCAAAGTGGAGCTACTATTTTATATTCCTACTTGCAACGTATAAGAGTTCGAGTTACTCAGCATGCTCGCCAGAACTTGATACTGAGTTTTATTTTAGAAATCCTAAAAGGTGTGCATTGGTCAATATTTTGTGAAGTCATTTTTAGCTGGGGATGTAATTCAGTGATAGTGCACTTGCCTAGCATGCATGAGGCCTTGAGTTCAAACCCCAGTATTCCAAAAAAACTCAAATGAATAATTAAATAAATAAGTCTTTAATAAAAGTACAACATACAGGCATAAAAGTGCCCAAATAAATAACTAATTACAGAGTAAATATATCTTTTATAACAACCATGAAATTAAAAAAAAAATTATAGGCATTCCAGAGACTTCTACTATTTGGACATCCAGCCTCCAAAACCATTTAATATCCAGAACTCTATGTCTGGATCAGTCAAGATCCATTTGCAGGCAAGGAAATGGAAAAAAGATTTCCTGTGGGAAGACTTCCTGTCCCAAAGGAAGTGAATCACAAGAAGAGACCAACACTATCTCCCTGACTCCACTGGGCAGCAATGAATTCTACTCCCCAAGTACCAGTTACCTCCACTTTTCTTTTTTTTTTTTTTTTCACCTTTTTTCTTTTGAGACAGGGTCTCGATAAGTTGCTGAAGTGGCTTTGAACTTGTGATCCTCCTGCCTCAGCCTCCCCCTAGCAGCTGGGATTACAGGTGTGTACCACTGTGCCAAGCCACCTCTACTCTTAATTGTAACATCTCCATTTGTTTTGCAAACAGCATATGGGTACTGATGAGGCCATGGTATCCTAAATGGGATTTTTTTTTTCTGTTTAAATCATTGAGTATAAGAAGAAACTAAGGGCTGGGGATGTGGCTCAAGCAGTATCGCGCTC